TATATATATAATTAGATACTTATACTATATAAATATGTAATCAATATATATATATATTTATGTATATAAGATGTGCTCTGGTTGAAGCCAGAGCAAGGGGCCTTTCTTCCACTCCTTCCTCCTTTGGCTCAGGGGCTCTTGAGGCACCACAGGATTCCAGTGCCCTTTGAAGCGGGTTGAAAAGAACTGGCATCATTGAGAAAAAAGGACTTGACTTGATGTCAAAAAACCTCTCCAGAGTGTAAAGTCCTGTGCCCCATTTACCAGCTATATTATCTTTTGCCAGTTATTCCAGCTCAGCATCAGTTTATACATCTGTAAAATGTGGATAAAAATAATGTCTAAATCTTAGAATTGTGGTAAACACTAAATAAGATGATGGATGGAATCCACAAAAAGCCATTAATAGGACTAGGAGAAGTGCCCCTGAGAGTAGAGCTAGTACGATTTGAGCCCAGCTAATCACAGCTACCTGGCAGCAGTCCACCTTAGAAGGTAGACTTTCGATTCAGAACCTGGAGACACGTATCATCAATCCCTCCATATTTCTGACATTTCTTGGTTTTATGATGCTTACCACATTGCTTTGAGGAAATCTTTAGGACAATACAAGTCATCAGGAATTAAGATGAGTCTGGGGCGCCTGGGTGGCTCAGTCATTAAGCGTCTGCCTTCAGCTCAGGTCATGATCCCGGGGTCCTGGGATCGAGCCCCGCAACGGGCTCCCAGCTCCGAGGGAAGCCTGCTTCTCCCTCTGCCCCTCCCCCTGCTTGTGTTCCCTCTCTCGCTGTCTCTCTCCCTCTGTCAAAATATAAATAAAATCTGTAAAAAAAAAAAAAAAAGGGAAATGAAGGCTCAGCGTATTAAACAACAACTACTACTAATACTCTCTCTTCTTCCTTAGACTCCGGCCCTATGACTGTGACAAGCCGTTCTTTCAGAGCCAGGGCCTTTTGTCGGGGTTGCAGCACTTGTAGGCACACCCAGTGCACAGCCCCACCTTCCGCAAAGCCAGTACAGCTCTTTGGAGTTTCACTCATGGATATGTGTTATAAAGACAACCTTCCCTACCCAATTCTGGTAGGTCATCTCCTTTGGTCTTCTATAGCCCTCCTGAGGAGGGGACACTCTGAGAGGCCACGTGTCCTCATCCAAATCTATCCTCAAATGGAGTAGTCATTAGACAGCCCCTGGTTTTGGCTGAGAAGCTCTGTTACTGTTATTTCAAGGAACAGAATCTGACTTAGTTCCAGCAGAGTCATGAGGCAAATACAACAGGAAAAGACATTCTTGTCCATTCCACCTGGGTCTTGTTTTTACAAAGACCCACCGAGGCTTATTCAGATCAGTCAAAATGGACTCTGTGTATGTGAGTCTCTGAGAGTCCACCTCATCTTCACACTCTCCCTTCATTGCCTTCCTGCACTCACATGAGTCTCAAGTCTCCTTCAGCGGAGTCTACTCAGTCTAACAACTGCAAACATCTGACACAAGCATAGACTCATCCTCTGGCAAATAGGAATCTGTTAATCCTAACAGAGTATGTCAAATGGAAGCCACAGAGTTTGGCCTGTGTTATCTCAAACTACTGTAGTGAATTGTCAGTGTGGACATTCACTGAGTATTCGGTGTCTCTGCAAGCACTGTGCGGGATGTAGGGAACGTTCTGCTAGCTATGAAGAAATGTATCATTTTAGCTAGCATGTTACCTGCTACCTACTACCCCAGGTCCTTGCATCACAGGAAATTTAGGGGCTAGCTAGGATTATCATCCTCCGCACTGCCTAAAGGAATCAGAAAAGCCTCAGTACAGGATGCATGTGCCCCAGCTCACACAATAGATAAGTAGCATAATAGACTTCAGATCCATTGGATTCCCTGAGTCCAGCCCTTATTAAGTTTCTACACAGCAGGGAAAGGATATGAAGTTACAGCAAAAGACAATGAAAGACTCATGAGAAGGGAGGGTAATCAGAGAAGGAGAAGAGAGTTTCTGAGCCTGACTTTAAAACAGGGAAGGAAATAGAACAAGTAGGAATGGAGTATACAGTCACTTAAAGAGAAATAAACAAATGGGAAATGAGTATTCCCTAAATAGACTTCCATACTGGGTGCCTGGGTGGCTCAGTTGGTTAAGCGACTGCCTTCAGCTCAGGTCATGATCCTGGAGTCCCAGGATCGAGTCCCGCATCAGGCTCCCTGCTCGGCGGGGAGTCTGCTTCTCCCTCTGACCCTCCCCCCTCTCATGCTCTCTCTCTGTCTCATTCTTTCTCTCTCAAATAAATAAAATCTTTAAAAAAAAAAAAAAAAAAAAAATAGACTTCCATACTTGGGGAAGAGCATCTATGTAGGGAATAATGAGAAAGAAATGCTAAATTAGGAAACAGACGGTGATTCCCCAAAGGCCTTGAAGCGGAGAAGTTTGATTTAAAAGTGGAAACTCAGTGGACAGGAAAATCTGATTAAAAGAAGTTTTTAAACTGTTTCACTGTATGATTGTAAAATGGATATTTGGGTCAAAACTATATAGAAAGACACTGAAAAAAAGAAACCAATCTAAATTGACTTTACTCCTTCCCACTCTAAAACAGTGTACCATTATATTCCCGTGCTCTTTCAAAATGCAGGCAAGCTTGTGCTCTGCGTTTGTGGATATGAGATGCCATATACTTTTCTTTTCTTCCTACAGGATATGCTTTCCTTTATTAATCAAAAAGGGCCCCTCACAGAAGGCATATTCAGCAAATCAGCCAATATAAAATCCTGCATGGTCCTAAAGGAGAAACTAAATTCTGGGGTCAAAGTGAACCCGTACAGCGAATCTGTTCATGTGGTCGCATCCATCTTAAAGGTAGGGAAGGTTCTACCATTATCCACACACGAGTAACTGAAGCTATGAGGCACACTTTAGTCCTTCAACAAGACTCCTCAAGAACCATAAAGGGCATAATAGATTAAGAACCTGACAAGCTAAAAAACCCTTGAGAAAATCAAAATTTAAGGAAGCTACTTTAGGAGTTAAAAGCCCCATGTATTAGAAATCCTTTGTTTTCACTACACACCGCCCTCCCCACTTTCACTCCTAAAGACTCCATGCAAAATACTAATACTGAAATGACTACTAGTCATGATAATAAATTTCAAAATACGCACCGATACATACACACAGTTTACCCATGCAAACATCCTCACCGCCCTCCTAATGAAGGCAAACTTTCCAAAAGAAATAGAACAGGGAAAGAATTTAATCCATCCACCTTGGCACTTATGTACAGCTCTGAACAACCCTATGTTAACGTAGTAATGACTACAGTCGTAGAATCTCAGTCACATTTGGTCTTCCCTTGTCCCCCGTTAATGTTCGAAGATGGGATCAATAGCAAAGTCCAGAAATGACTTAGGTAACCACTCCTACACTGCGGTCATAGTGATATCCAGTAGTAATATACATATAGGCATCAGGAGACAGGAGAGGAATGATGATACACTAGGTAGCAAGATGAGTGTTGCCCTCTGTGAGGTGTACACATGGAATCCATTTTCTAGCAAGAGTTAGGAGGTTCTTTCCTGATTCCGTGTTATAAGCACCGACTAGGAAGAGGGTGAGCACTTGTGGGGAGAGTGCTTAGACATTTCTAAACTTTTCTCTTCTTGAAGTTGACGGATCTTGGTGGAGAATGAGACTCTGCAACCTTGGCCTTGATACTATCATGGCAAACTAACTGGACAATTGTCCTAAACTAGAAATGAATCTATCCTCAGGACCACAGTGAGTCTGCCATTGGACTCTCGACTTTTAGACAGTTAAGAAAAGGAAGAATGAAGCAATTGTGAGAATAGCTCTCTTCCAGGGAGCACGTATACCCCGAGTGAGAAGACCTAGTTCTTTCCTAATATGTGTGCCAGAGCCCACCTGTTTGTGTTTTGATTGTTTCAGGCCTTTTCTTGCTAGAATTAAGAGCTAGCACTGTGCCTAAAACAAGCAACATGGGTATGTGTATTTCTGTCCAAGAAGCTAATAGGATTTAGGATGGTCTATAGCCAGACGCTGTCAGTTTGTGGTACTTTGCAAAAAAAGCACACATACAAAATAAGTTCCAGATGATACAAGGGAGCTTTATCTTCATTTCCACCACAGGCTAAGCTCTGCTTTTATGCCTCTAAGTTTTAGCGGGAGAAAATCCAAGCACCTGCTCCTGCGTGTGCAAGTCAATGGAGAGTCAGAGCCGAGCTCCGTGTGGGTCCCACTTTGGGTATCTGTGAAGGAGGTGGGGGCTGAACTGAATTTTTTAACTACATATTTTCTCTAGAATATTTCCAATACATATTTTCTATAATATATACACATATTTTTTTTTATCTCCCTAAGGACTTTCTGAGAAATATCCAAGGAAGTATATTTTTATCTGATCTCTATGACAAATGGCTCGGTGTTATTGATCAAGGCAACAAAGAGGAGATGATAACGGCAGCCCGGAGGTAACGATGCATAATTACTCTACTCTGTTCACATCTCCAAATAATACCCAACATACTATGAGGAAAACATTGGCTTACATTTTGCAGCTTTGCCCTCTATAATCATGACCAACGCCAAAGAGTTTCAATTCTTCACGCCCATGGGGGCCAGCTCAGAATAGAGGCACACTTTAGGGCTATTATTGTTCTTCTCCTGATCTTATTAATGTGGACTCCTTGGCCGTTTTACACCTTCTGGATCCATGAAACTGGTAGACAAAATTCCCTGGTCCAAGACAGATCAAGAGCAACAACTGCCAGGGCTATGACCTTAAAAGTCTGTCAGACATTTAACCAACCAGGCAAGTGTGTATCTGGCTCAGGAACTGAATTCAGTGCAACAATTTTGTATACATCCATGCCTGGAACGCTGCTAGAGCGGGTTGTGTGCTAGATATACAAGGATGTATCCTGTTCCCTGTCTCTGTTTTTCCAACCTCCTAAGTGGAATCACTTGCCTAATTTAAAACTGTGTTTTTCTGACCTTAGGCTTTTAGCCCAGCTGCCAAGAGCAAATGTTGTTCTCTTGCGATACCTTTTTGGAGTGCTATACAACATTGAGCAACATTCGTCATCCAATCAGATGAAAGCTTATAATTTATCCGTTTGTATAGCCCCATGCGTTCTTTACCCACCTGATTCCGAAAGCTTGGAATTGGAAGACAACATGATAAAAAAGGTAATGAGAGGTCTCATTCTTGTCCCCCAGGGGGTAGAATCCCTTCTTTGAACCGGACATGTGCAGTAGTAACTCTGACGGATGGAACTTTGTGAACTGCACATTTTCATTAGGCCCCTGTGGAATGGCAGAGTTCTTTATGCTACTCTGGCGGGGTCTGGAAAGGGGTGTCATTAAACGGGAAACTCAGAGTGGTCGAGTCACTTCTTCCCTCTCCAGGAGACTAAACCTAGACTGACTAAAAAAGAGATAGAAGAGTCGTGTGATACGATAGAAAAGAACCTGGGCTTTGGAGCTTCACCAGTCAAGGTTCAACTCTCAGCCTAATCCCTGAGGGACTCGTAACCTTGGGCAAAGCCATGGTTTCCTCACTGCACAATGGCGACAACAGCCAGCTCCTCCGGTCATCACTGGCACATCCTGGGTGGTTTGGGCAATATGAGCCCCCATGCCTCCAAACACATTGGCCTTCCTCTGCCAATTGTGGCTCATCTAGAAAAGTACTCGGCTACTATTTCACCTCTGCTACATCATACGTAAACTAGGAAGAGATTCCAGAATATCCTAATAAGATGACAGGTCTTCCCCAAGCTCACCAAGAGAGACAGTATGAGGCAAAGCAATGCGTGAGAATGGACTGAAGTTAGACAGACAGATACATTTTCTCTCCAGCTGTGTGGGTTTTCCCTCACAACCGCACCAAAATCCCTGCTTCCCAACTTTAAGATACTTCTTCATTTAAGAAATGGTTTTAAGTTTTTGTTCATACTTCATTAAGTTTCATAAGATGTTATACATCAGTTACAGCTCAATAAAACTGGAAACAAAATTTAAAAACAAAAAATAAGTAAACTTTAATAAGGTAGGCTACTTTGAAAATTATCCTAGTTTTATTTATTTTTTGATATGTATTTATTTAAGAGATGGAAAGAGAGACCATGAGTGGGGCAGGGGCAGAGGAAGAGGGAGAGGGAGAAGCCCAAGCCGATTCCCCGCTGAACACGGAGCCCAAAGTTAGCTCCATGTGCGGCTGGATCTCACCACCATGACATCGTGATCTGCGCCGAAATCAAGAGTCAGACGCCCAACTGAGGGGCCCAGAAATTTATCCTAGGCTTAAAGATGTAACCACTGATCCCAAAATGTTAGCTCTTAAACTAGGCCACGCATTATAACTTTAGCCCACTGATGAGCAGTATTTTAAAATGTGTATCCAAAGTACACGGGAAAGTATCACTCTTTCTAAGTTATTTCAGAAAGAACTCTGGTTTCTATGTGTTTTTGGGTTTTTTTGTTTTTTCTTTAAACTTTTATTTATTTACTTGACTGAGAGAGACACAGCGAGAGACGGAACACAAGCAGGGGGAGTGGGAGACGGAGAAGCAGGCTTCACGCTGAGCAGGGAGCCTGATGTAGGGCTGATCCCAGCACCCTGGGATTATGACCTGAGCCGAACGCAGACGCTTAACCAACTGAGCCACCCAGGCGCCCCTGGTTTCTACATATTTTTATCAACTCTGAATTTTTCTGAGAAGTCCTTCCCATTTTTTCTTAGATCCAAGGTCTGTATAGAAAATGTGATTTATAACTATGCCCTATGGAAAAGAGCACCCCATTCTTGTCTTTTTGTGTTACAGATATGTCTTGTACAATTTCTCATTGAAAATTGCCTCAGGATATTTGGAGAAGACATCACTTCCCTCTTGGGCGAGAACTCAATGAGTCGTGGTAACAGCGAGAAGGCTGCAGGTACCGGGAGTAATTTAATTGGCTTTAGTGAGAAGCAGATAGCAAGGTTACCAGGGGTCATGGGAGATGTTTAGACAGAGCTGTTCTGGAGCCCAGAGCATCGCCAGGGCAAGGATTTCCATGGGCTCCTTCTTCCGAAGGCTGACTTGATGTCAAAAAACCTCTCCAGAGTGTAAAGTCCTGTGCCCCCATTTACCAGCTATGTTACCTTTGATCAGTTTTTCTAGCTCAGCATCAGTTTATTGATCTCTAAAATGTAGATAAAATAATGTCTAAATCTTAGAATTGTGGTAAACACTAAATAAGATGATGGATGGAATCCACAAAAAGCCATTAATAGGACTAGGAGAAGTGCCCCTGAGAGTAGAGCTAGTACGATTTGAGCCTAGCTAATCACAGCTACCTGGCAGCAGTCCACCTTAGAAGGTAGACTTTCGATTCAGAACCTGGAGACACGTATCATCAATCCCTCCATATTTCTGACATTTCTTGGTTTTATGATGCTTACCACATTGCTTTGAGGAAATCTTTAGGAAAATACAAGTCATCAGGAATTAAGATGAGTCTGGGGCGCCTGGGTGGCTCAGTCATTAAGCGTCTGCCTTCAGCTCAGGTCATGATCCCGGGGTCCTGGGATCGAGCCCCGCATCGGCCTCCCTGCTCCGAGGGAAGCCTGCTTCTCCCTCTGCCCCTCCCCCTGTTTGTGTTCCCTCTCTCGTTGTCTCTCTCCCTCTGTCAAAATATAAATAAAATGTGTAAAAAAAAAAAAAAGGAAAAAGAAGGTTCAGCGTATTAAACAACAACTACTACTACTAGTACTCTCTCTTCTTCCTTAGACTCCGGTCGGAAGACTGTGAAAAGCCATTTTTTCAGAGACAGGGCCTTTTGGTGGGGCTCCGGCACTTCCCAGCACACCCAGTGCACAGCCCCACCTTCCGCAAAGCCAGGACAGCTCTTTGGAGTTTCCCTCATGGATGTGTGTGATAAAGACAACTTGCCCTTCCCAATTCTGGTAGGTCATCTCCTTTTGGTCTTCTACAGCCCTCCTGAGGAGGGGAAACTCTGAGAGGCCACGTGTCCTCATCCAAATCTATCCCCAAATGGAGAAGTCATTAGACAGCCCTTGGCTTTGGCTGAGAAGCTCTGTTACTGTTATTTCAAGGAACAGAATCTGACTTAGGTCCAGCAGAGTCGTGAGGCTAATACAACAGGAAAAGACTTTCTTATCCATTCCACATGGGTCTTGTTTCCACAAAGACCCACCGAAGCCTGTTCAGATCAGTCAAAAAGGACTCTGTGTATGTGAGTCTCTGAGAGTCCACCTCATCTTCACACTCTCCCTTCATTGCCTTCCTGCACTCACATGAGTCTCAAGTCTCCTTCAGTGGAGTCTACTCAGTCTAACAACTGCAAACATCTGACATGAGCATGGACTCATCCTCTGGCAAATAGGAATCTGTTAATCCTAACAGAATATATCAAATGAAAGCCACAGAGTTTGGCCTGTTTTATCTCAAACTGCTGTAGTGAATTGTCAGTGTGGACCTTCACTGAGTATTCGGTGTCTCTGCAAGCACTGTACGGGATGTAGGGAACGTTCTCCTAGCTATAAAGAAATGTATCATATTAGCTACTTTGTTACCTGCTAGCTACTACCCCAGGTCCATGCATCACAGCAAATTTAGGAGCTAGCTAGGATTATCATCCTCCACACTTCCTAACCGATTCAGAAAAGCCTCAGTACAGGATGTATGTGCCCGAGCTCACACAATAGATAAGTAGCATACTAGACTTCAGATCCATTTTATTCCCTGAGTCCAGCCCTTATTAAGATTCTACACAGCAGAGAGAGGACGTGAAGATAGAGCAAAAGAGAATTTAAGACTCATGAGAAGGGAGGGTAATCAGAGAAAGAGAAGAGACTTTCTGGGCCTGACTTTAAAAGAGGGAAGGAAATAGAACAAGTAGGAAAGGAGTATAGAGTCACTTAAAGAAAAATAAACAAATGGGAAATGAGTATTCGCTAAATAGACTTCCATATTTGGGGAAGAGCATCTACATAAGGGAATAATGAGAAAAGAATGGTAAAGTAGGAAACAGATGGTGATTCCGCAAAGGCCTTGAAGCATAGAAGTTTGATTTAAGAGTGGAAACTCAATGGAAAGGAAAATCTGATTAAAAGAACTGTTTAAATTGTTTCAGTGTATGACTGTAAAATGGATATTTGGGTAGAAAGTATATAGAGAAACACTGAAAAAAAAACAATCTAAATCGACTTTGGTCCTTCCCGCTCTAAAACAGTGTACCAGTACATTCCCCTCCTCTTTCAAAACGGAGGCAAGCTTGTGCTCTGCGTTTGTGGATATGAGATGCCATATACTTTGCTTTTCTTCCTACAGGGTATGCTTTCCTTTATTAATGAAAAAGGGCCCCTCACAGAAGGCATATTCAGAAACTCAGCCAATATAAAATCCTGCCATGTCCTAAAGGAAAAACTGAATTCTGGGGTCAAAGTGAACCCATACAGCGAATCTGTTCATGTGGTCGCATCCGTCTTAAAGGTAGGGAAGGTTCTAGCAGTATCTACACACGAGTAACTGAAGCTATGACTGGTGTCCTTCATCAAGACTGCTCAAGAACAATAATGGGCATAATAGATTAAGAACCTGACAAGCTGAAAAACGCTTAACAAAAGCAAAATTTAAGGAAGCGACTTTAGGAGTTAAGCCCCATGTGTTAGAAATACTTTCTCTTTTCACTACACACCGCCCTCCCCACCTTCACTCCTAAAGACTCCATGCAAAATACTAATACTGAAATGACTACTAGTCATGATAATAAATTTCAAAATACGCACCGATACATACACAGTTTACCCATGAAAACATCCTCACCACCCTCCTAATGAAGGCAAACTTTCCAAAAGAAATACAACAGGGAAAGAATTTAATCCATCCACCTTGGCACTTATGAACAGCTCTGAACAACCCTATGTTAACATAGTAATTACTACAGTCATAGAATGTCAGTCGCATATGGTCTTCCCTTGTCCCCCGTTAATGTTCGAAGATGTGATCAATAGCAAGGTCCAGAAATGACTTAGGTAACCACTCCTACACTGGGGCCATAGTGATATCCAGTAGTAATATACATACAGGCATCAGGAGACAGGAGAAGAATGATGCTACACTAGGTAGCAAGATGAGTGTTGCCCTCTGTAAAGTGCACACATGGAATCGATTTTCTAGCAAGAGTTAGGAGGTTCTTTCCTGATTCCGTGTTATAAGCACTGACTAGGGAGAGGGTGAGCACTTGTGGGGAGAGTGCTTAGACATTTCTAAAGTTTTCTCTTCCTGAAGTTGATGGATCTTGGTGGAGAATCAGACTCTGCAACCTTGGCCTTGATACTATGATGGCAAACTAACTGGACAATTGGCCTAAACTAGAAATGAATCTATCCTCAGGACCACAGTGAGTCTGCCATTAGACTCTCGACTTTTAGACAGTTAAGAAAAGGAAGAATGAAGCAATTGTGCGAGTAGCTTTCTTCCAGGGAGCACACATACCCCGAGTGAGAAGACCTAGTTCTTTCCTAATATGTGTGCAAGAGCCCACCTGTTTGTGTTTTGATTGTTTCAGGCCTTTTCTTGCTAGAGTTAAGAGCTAGCACCTTGTCTAAAACAAGCAATATGGGTATGTGTATTTCTGTCCAGGAAGCTAATAGGATTTAGGATGGTCTATAGCCAGACCCTGTCAGTTTGTGGTACTTTACAAAAAAAAAACCACTCACACAAAATAAGTTCCAGATGATAGAAGGGAGCTTTATCTTCATTTCCACCACAGGCTAAGCTCTGCTTTTATGCCTCTAAGTTTTAGCGGGAGAAAATCCAAGCACCTGCTCCTGCGTGTGCAAGTCAATGGAAAGTCAGAGCCGAGCTCCGTGTGGGTCCCAGTTTGGGTATCTGTGAAGGAAGTGGGGGCTGAACTGAATTTTTTAACTACATATTTTCTCTGGAATATTTCCAATACATAGTTTCTATAGTTTATATTTATGTATATATATATATATATACATTTTTTTTTTATCTCCCTAAGGATTTTCTTAGAAATATCCACGGAAGTATATTTTTATCTGACCTCTATGACAAATGGCTCGGTGTTATTGATCAAGGCAACAAAGAGGAGAAGATAACTGCAGCCCAGAGGTAATGATGCCATAATTACTCTACTCTGGTCACATCTCCAAAATACAGCCAACATACTATTAGGAAAACATTGGCTTACGTTTTGCAGCTTTGCCCACTATAATCATGACCAACGCCAAAGAGTTTCAATTCTTCACACCCATGGGGCCCAACTTCAGAATAGAGGCACGCTTTAGGGCTATTATTGTTCTTCTCCTGATCTTATTAATCTGGACTCCTTGGCCATTTGACACCTTCTGGATCCTTGAAACTGATAGACAAAATTCCCTGGTTCAAGACACATGCAAGAGCATCAACTGCCAGGGCTATGACCTTAAAAGTCTGTCAAACATTTAACTAACCAGAGAAGTGTTTATCTGGCTCAGGGACTGAATTCAGTGCAACAATTTTGTCTACATTCATGCCTGGAACTCTGCTAGAGCGGGTTGTGTGCTAGATATACAAGGATGTATTCTGTTCCCTGTCTCTGTTTTTCCAACCTCCTAAGTGGAATCACTTGCATAATTTAAAAGTGTGTTTTTCTGACCTTAGGCTTTTAGCCCAGCTGCCAAGAGCAAATGTTGTTCTCTTGCGATACCTTTTTGGAGTGCTATACAACATTGAGCAACATTCGTCATCCAATCAGATGACAGCTTATAATTTATCCGTTTGTATAGCCCCAAGCGTTCTTTACCCACCTGATTTCGGCACCTTGGAACTGGAAGACAACTTGATAAAAAAGGTAATGAGAGCTCTCATTTTTGTCCCCCAGGGGGTAGAATCCCTACTTTGAACCGGACATGTGCAGTAGTAACTCTGACGGATGGAACTTTGTCAAGTGCACATTTTCATTAGGCCCCTGTGGAGTGGCAGAGTTCTTTAAGCTACTCTGGCGGGGTCTGGGAAGGGGTGTCGTTAAATGGGAAACTCGGAGCAGTCGAGTCACTTCTTCCCCCTCCAGGAGACTAAACACTAGACTGACTAAACGAGAGAGAGAAGAGTCATGTGATACGATAGAAAAGAACCTGGGCTTTGGAGCTTCACCAGTCAAGGTTCAACTCTCAGCCTAATCCCTGAGGGACTCGTAACCTTGGGCAAAGCCATGGTTTCCTCACTACACAATGGCGACAACAGCCAGCTCCTCTAGTCATCACTGGCACATCCTGGGTGGCTTGGGCAATATGAGCCCCCATGCCTCCAAACACATTGGCCTTCCTCTGCCAATTGTGGCTCATTTAGAAAAGTACTCGGCTACTATTTCACCTCTGCTACATCATATGGAAACTAGCAAGAGATTCCAGAATATCCTAATAAGATGACAGGTCTTCCCCAAGCTCACCCAGAGAGAGCGAGCATGAGGCAAAGCAATGCGTGAGAAGGGACTGAAGTTAGACAGACAGATACGTTTTCTCTCCTGCTGTGTGGGTTTTCCCTCACAACCCCACCAAAATCCCTGCTTCCCAACTTTATGATACTTCTTCATTTAAGAAATGGTTTTCTTAAGTTGTCATTCATACTTTATAAAGTTTCATAAGATGGTATACATCAGTTACAGCTCAGTAAAACTGAAAACAAAATTTAAAAGCAAAAAATAAGTAAACTTTAATAAGGTAAGCTACTTTGAAAATTATCCTTGTTTTATTTATTTTTTGATATGTATTTATTTGAGAGAGGGAAAGAGAGAGCGTGAGCGGGGCAGGGGCAGAAGAAGAGGGAGAGGGAGAGGGAGAAGCCCAAGCCCATTCCCCGCTGAGCACGGAGCCCAAAGTTGGCTCCATGTGGGGCTGCATCGCACCACCGTGAGATCGTGATCTGCGCCACAATCAAGAGTCAGACGCCCAACTGAGGGGCCCCGAAATTTATCCTAGGCTTAAAGACATAACCACTGATCCCAAAATGTTAGCTCTTAAACTAGGTCACGCATTATAACTTTAGCCCACCGATGGGCAGTATTTTAAAATGTGTACCCAAAGTACACGGGAAAGTATCACTCTAAGTTATTTCTGAGAGAACTCTGGTTTCTATGTGTTTCTGTTTTTTTGTGTTTTTTTTTAAACTTTTATTTTTTTACTTGACTGAAAGAGACACAGCGAGAGAGGGAACACAAGCAGGGGGAGTGGGAGAGGGAGAAGCAGGCTTCCCGCTGAGCAGGGAGCCCGATGTAGGGCTGATCCCAGCACCCTGGGATTATGACCTGAGCCGAACGCAGACGCTTAACCGACTGAGCCACCCAGGCGCCCCTGGTTTCTACGTATTTTTATCAACTCTGAATTTTTCTGAGAAGTCCTTCCCATTTTTTCTTAGATCCAAGGTCTGTATACAAAATGTGATTTATAACTATGCCCTATGGAAAAGAGCACCCCATTCTTGTCTTTTTGTGTTACAGATTTGTCTTGTACAATTTCTCATTGAAAATTGCCTCAGGATATTTGGAGAAGACATCACTTCCCTCTTGGGCGAGAACTCAATGAGTCGTGGTAACAGCGAGAAGGCTGCAGGTACCGGGAGTAATTTAATTGGCTTTAGTGAGAAGCAGACAGCAAGGTTGCCAGGGGTCATGGGAGATGCTTAGACAGAGCTGTTCTGGAGCCCAGAGCATCGCCAGGGCAAGGATTTCCATGGGCTCCTTCTTCCGAAGGCTGGCTCACTGGTCGGGGGAGGTTCCACACTGTTGTGAGACCAAAGAAAGGACAAGATGAGATGTCTGACTTAAAGAAGTTTCTAGTGTAGATCATAAGGGCATTAGGACACTTCATGGTATGCTACAGTGTTTGGGAATTTTTTCTAACAAAATTCTAAATGGGTTCTCTCTCTCTCTCTCTCTATATACACATATATATATAACATCATACCTATATATGTAGTTATATATATATAATATATAATTAGATACTTATTCTATATAAATATATAATCATAACATATATATTTATGTATATTAGATGTGCTCTGGTTGAATCCAGAGCAAGGGCCTTTCTTCCCCTCCCTCCTCTTTTGGCTCAGGGGCTCTTGAGGCACCACAGGAATCCAGTGCCCTTTGAATCGGGTTGAAAAGAACTGGCATCATTGAGAAAAAAGGACTTGACTTGATGTCAAACAACCTCTCCAGAGTGTAAATTCCTATGCCCCCATTTCCCAGCTATATTATATTTGGCCAGTTATTCCAGCTCAGCATCAGTTTATTCATCTCTAAAATGTAGGTAAAAATAATGTCTAAATCTTAGAATTGTGGTAAACACTCTATAAGATGATGGATGTAATCCAAGAAAAACCCATTAATAGGAGTAGCAGAAGTGCTCCTGACACCAGAGGTAGTATGATTTGAGCCTAGCTAATCACAGCTACCTGGCAGCAGTCCACCTTAGAAGGTAGACTTTCGATTCAGAACCTGGAGACACGTATCATCAATGCCTCCATATTTCTGACATTTCTTGGTTTTATGATGCTTACCACATTGCTTTGAGGAAATCTATAGGAAAATACAAGTCATTAGGAATTAAGATGAGCCTGGAGCACATGGGTGGCTCAGTTGTTAAGTGTCTGCCTTCAGCTCAGGTCATGATCCGGGGGTCCTGGAATCGACCCCCGCGTTGGGCTCCCTGCTCTGAGGGAAGCCTGCTTCTCCCTCTCCCCCTCCCCCTGCTTGTGTTCCCTCTCTCATTGTCTCTCTCCCTCTGTCAAAATATGAATAAAATCTGTTAAAAAAAAAAAAAAAAGGAAAAAGAAGGTTCAGCGTATTAAACAACAACTACTACTACTAGTACTCTCTCTTCTTCCTAGACTCCGGCCGGAAGACTGTGAAAAGCCATTTTTTCAGAGACAGGGCCTTTTGGTGGGGCTCCCGCACTTGCCAGCTCACCCAGTGAACAGCCCCACCTTCCGCAAAGCCAGGACAGCTCTTTGGAGTTTCCCTCATGGATATCTGTGATAAAGACAACCTGCCCTTTCCAATTCTGGTAGGTCATCTCCTTTTGGTCTTCTATAGCCCTCCTGAGGAGCGGAAACTGAAAGGCCAAGCGTCCTCATCCAAATCTATCCCCAAATGGAGAAGTCATTACATAGTCCCTGGCTTTGGCAGAGAAGCTCTGTTACTGTTATTTCAAAGAACAGAATCTGATTTAGGTCCAGCAGACTCATGAGGCAAATACAAAAGGAAAAGACATTCTTGTCCATTCCACTTCTGTCTTGTTTCCACAAAGACCCATGGAGGCCTGTTCAGATCAGTCAAAATGGACTCTGTGTATGTGAGTCTCTGAGAGTCCACCTCATCTTCACACTCTCCCTTCATTGCCTTCCTGCTCACATGAGTCTCAAGTCTCCTTCAGCAGAGTCTACTCAGTCTAACAACTGTAAACATCTGACACGAGCATAGACTCATCCTCTGGCAAATAGGAATCTGTTAATCCTAACAGAGTATGTCAAATGAAAGCCACAGAGTTTGGCCCGTGTTATCTCAAACTGCTGTAGTGAATTGTCAGTGTGTACATTCACTGAGTATTCGGTATCTCTGCAAGCACTGTACGGTATGTAGGGAACGTTCTGCTAGCTATGAAGAAATATATCACCTTAGCTAGCATGTTACCTGCTAGCTACTACCCCAGGTCCATGCATCACAGCATATTTAGGGGCTAGCTAGGATTATCATCCTCCGCACTGCCTAAACGAATCAGAAAAGCCTCAGTACAGGATGTGTGTGCCCCAGCTCACACAATAGATAAGTAGCATAATAGATTTCAGATCCGTTGGATTCCCTGAGTCCAGCCCTTATTAAGTTTCTACACAGCAGGGAGAGGACATGAAGATAGAGCAAAAGACAATGAAAGACTCATGAGAAGGGAGGGTAATCAGAGAAGGAGAAGAGAGTTTCTGAGCCTGACTTTAAAAGAGGGAAGGAAATAGAACAAGTAGGAAAGGAGTATAGAGTCACTTAAAGAGAAATAAACAAATGGGAAATGAGTATTTCCTAAATAGACTTCCATACTTGGGGAAGAGCATCTATGTAGGGAATAATTAGAAAAAAATGCTAAAGTAGGAAACAGATGGTGATTCCCCAAAGGCTTTGAAGCAGAAAAGTTTGATTTAAAAGTGGAAACTCAGTGGAAAGGAAAATCTGATTAAAAGAAGTGTTTAAAATGTTTGAGTGTATGACTGTAAAATAGATATTTCGGTAGAAAGTATATAGAGAGACACTGAAAAAAAAAAAATCTAAATTGACTTTAGTCCTTCCAGCTCAAAAACAGTGTACCATTACATTCCCCTCCTCTTTCAAAACGGAGGCAAGCTTGTGCTCTGCGTTTGTGGATATGAGATGCCATATACTTTTCTTTTCTTCCTACAGGATATGCTTTCCTTTATTAATCAAAAAGGGCCACTCACAGAAGGCGTCTTCCGCAAATCAGCCAATATAAAATCCTGCAGAGTCCTAAAGAAAAAACTAAATTCTGGGGTCAAAGTGAACCCGTACAGTGAATCTGTTCATGTGGTCGCATCCGTCTTAAAGGTAGGGAAGGTTCTAGCATTATCCACACGTGAGTAACTGAAGCTATGATTGGTTTCCTTGATCATGACTGCTCAAGAACTGTAATGGGCATAATAGATTAAGAACCTGACAAGCTGAAAATGCTTGACAAAATCAAAATTTAAGGAAGCTACTTTAGGAGTTAAAAGCCCCATGTGTTAGAAATACTTTCTGTTTTCACTACACACCGCCCTCCCCACCTCCACTCCTGAAGTCTCCATGCAAAATACTAATACTGAAATGACTACTAGTCATGATAATAAATTTCAAAATACGCACTGACACAAACACACTGTTTACCGAAGCAGACATCCTCACCACCCTGCTAATGATGGCAAAGTTTCCAAAAGAAATGGAGCAGGGAAAAAATTTAATCCATCCACCTTGGCACTAATTAACAGCTCTGAACAACCCTATGTTAATGTAGTAATGAGTACAGTCTTTGAATCTCAGTCACATTTGGTCTTCCCTTGTCCCCCGTTAATGTTCGAAGATGGGATAAATAGCAAATGACTTAGGTAACCACTCCTACTCTGGGGCCATAGTGATATCCAGTAGTAATATACATGTAGGCATTGGGAGACAGGAGAAGAATGATGATACACTAGGTAGCAAGGTGAGCGTTGCCCTCTGTAAGGTGCACACATGGAATCGATTTTTTAGCAAGAGTTAGGAGGTTCCTTCCTGATTCTGTGTTATCAGCACCGACTAGGAAGAGGGTGTGCACTTGTGGGTATGGTGCTTAGACATTTCTAAAGTTTTCTCTTCCTGAAGTTGACGGATCTTGGTGGAGAATCAGACTCTGCAACCTTGGCCTTGATAATATCATGGCAAACTAACTGGACAATTGTCCTAAACTAGAAATGAATCTATCCTCAGGACCACAGTGAGTCTGCCATTAGACTCTCGACTTTTAGACAGTTAAGAAAAGGAAGAATGAAGCAATTGTGAGAGTAGCTTTCTTCCAGGGAGCACGCATACCCCGAGTGAGAAGACCTAGTTCTTTCCTAATATGTGTGCAAGAGCCCACCTGTTTGTGTTTTGATTGTTTCAGGCCTTTTCTTGCTAGAGTTAAGAGTTAGCACCTTGTCTAAAACAAGCAACATGGGTATGTGTATTTCTGTCCAGGAAGCTAATAGGATTTAGGATAGTCTATAGCCAGACCCTGTCAGTTTGTGGTACTTTGCAAAAAAAAAAGCACTCACACAAAATAAGTTCCAGATGATAGAAGGGAGCTTTATCTTCATTTCCACCACAGGCTAAGCTCTGCTTTTATGCCTCTAAGTTTTAGCGGGAGAAAATCCAAGCACCTGCTCCCGCGTGAGCAAGTCAATGGAAACTCGGAGCCGAGCTCCGTGTGGGTCCCAGTTTGGGTATCTGTGAAGGAAGTGGGGACTGAACTGAATTTTTTAACTACATATTTTCTCTGGAATATTTCCAATAAATATTTTCTACAATATATATACATATTTTTTTTATCTCCATAAGGACTTTCTTAGAAATATCCAAGGAAGTATATTTTTATCCGATCTCTATGACAAATGGCTCAGTGTTATTGATCAAGGCAACAAAGAGGAGAAGATAACTGCAGCCCAGAGGTAATGATGCCATAATTACTCTACTCTGGTCACATCTCCAAAATACACCCAACATACTATCAGGAAAACATTGGCTTACGTTTTGCAGCTTTGCCTACTAAAATCATGACCAACGCCAAAGAGTTTCAATTCTTCACACCCATGGGGTCCAGCTTCAGAATAGAGGCATGCTTTAGGGCTATTATTGTTCTTCTCCTGATCTTATTAATGTGGACTCCTTGGCCATTTTACCCCTTCTGGATCCATGACAGTGGTAGACGAAATTCCCTGGTCCAAGACAGATGCTAGAGCATTGACTTCCAGGGCTATGACCTTAAAAGTCTGTGAAACATTTAACTAAGCAGAGAAGTTGTTATCTGGCTCAGGAACTGAATTCAGTGCAACAATTTTGGATACCTTCATGCCTGGAACTCTGCTAGAGCGGGTTGTGTGCTAGATATACAAGGATGTACCCTGTACCCTGTCTCTTTTTCCAACCTCTTAAGTGGGATCACTTACCTAATTTAAAAGTGTGTTTTTCTGACTTTAGGCTTTTAGCCGAGCTGCCAAGAGCAAATGTTGTTCTCTTGCGATACCTTTTTGGAGTGCTATACAACATTGAGCAACATTCCTCATCCAATCAGATGACAGCTTATAATTTATCCGTTTGTATAGCCCCAAGTGTTCTTTACCCACGTGATTCCGGCAGCTTGGAATTGGAAGACAACTTGATAAGAAAGGTAATGAGAGCTCTCATTTTTGTCCCCCAGGGGGTAGAATCCCTACTTTGAACCAGACAAGTGCAGTAGTAACTCTGACGGATGGAACTTTGTGAAGTGCACATTTTCATTAGGCCCCTGTGGAGTGGGAGAGTTCTTTATCCTACTCTGGCGGGGTCTGGGAAGGGGTGTCGTTAAACGGGAAACTCGGAGCAGTCGAGTCACTTCTTCCCCCTCCAGGAGACTAAACACTAGACTGACTAAATGAGAGAGAGAATAGTCGTGTGATACGATAGGAAAGAACCTGGGCTTTGGAACTTCACCAGTCAAGGTTCAACTCTCAGCCTAATCCCTGAGGGACTCGTAACCTTGGGCAAAGCCATGGTTTCCTCACTACACAATGGCGACAACAGCCAGCTCCTCCGGTCATCACTGGCACATCCTGGGTGGCCTGGGCAATATGAGCCCCCATGCCTCCAAACACATTGGCCTTCCTCTGCCAATTGTGGCTCATCTAGAAAAGTACTCAGCTACTATTTCACCTCTGCTACGTCATATGGAAACTAGCAAGAGATTCCAGAATATCCTAATAAGATGACAGGTCTTCCCCAAGCTCACACAGAGAGAGCCAGCATGAGGCAAAGCAATGCGTGAGAAGGGACTGAAGTTAGACAGACAGATACGTTTTCTCTCCAGCTGTGTGGGTTTTCCCTCACAACCCCACCAAAATCCCTGCTTCCCAACTTTATGATACTTCTTCATTTAAGAAATGGTTTTCTTAAGTTGTCGTTCATACTTTATAAAGTTTCATAAGATGGTATACATCAGTTACAGCTCAGTAAAACTGGAAACAAAATTTAAAAGCAAAAAAATAAGTAAACTTTAATAAGGTAGGCTACTTTGAAAATTATCCTAGTTTTATTTATTTTTTTGATATGTATTTATTTGAGAGAGGGAAAGAGAGAGTGTGAGAGGGGCAGGGGCAGAAGAAGAGGGAGAGGGAGAGGGAGAAGCCCAAGCCGATTCCCTGCTGAGCATGGAGCCCAAAGTTGGCTCCATGTGGAGCTGGATCTCACCACCATGAGATTGTGATCTGCGCCGAAATCAAGAGTCAGACGCCCAACAGAGGGGCCCCGAAATTTATCCTAGGCTTAAAGACGTAACCACTGATCCCAAAATGTTAGCTCTTAACCTAGGCCACGCATTATAACTTTAGCCCACGGATGAGCAGTATTTTAAAATGTGTACCCAAAGTACACGGGAAAGTATCACTCTTTCTAAGTTATTTCTGAGAGAACTCTGGTTTCTATGTGTTTTTGTTTTTTGGTTTTTTCTTAAGCTTTTATTTATTTACTTGACTGAGAGAGACACAGCGAGAGAGGGAACACAAGCAGGGGGAGTGGGAGAGGGAGAAGCATGGTTCCCGCTGAGCAGGGAGTGTGATGTAGGGCTGATCCCAGCACCCTGCTTTCATGACCTGAGCCGAAGGCAGACGCTTTACCGAGTGAGCCACCCAGGTGCCCCTGGTTTCTACGTATTTTTATCAAGTCTGAATTTTACTGGGAAGTCCTTCCCATTTTTTCTTAGATCCAAGGTTTGCATACAAAATGTGATTTATAACTATGCCCTATGGAAAAGAGCACCCCATTCTTGTCTTTTTGTGTTACAGATTTGTCTTGTACAATTTCTCATTGAAAATTGCCTCAGGATATTTGGAGAAGACATCACTTCCCTCTTGGGCGAGAACTCAATGAGTCGTGGTAACAGCGAGAAGGCTGCAGGTACCGGGAGTAATTTAATTGGCTTTAGTGAGAAGCAGACAGCAAGGTTGCCAGGGGTCATGGGAGATGCTTAGACAGAGCTGTTCTGGAGCCCAGAGCATCGCCAGGGCAAGGATTTCCATGGGCTCCTTCTTCCGAAGGCAGGCGCACAGGTCAAGGGAGGTTCCACACTGTTGTGAGACCAAAGAAAGGATAAGATGAGGTCTCTGACTTCAAGAAGTTTCTAGTGTAGATCATAAGGGCATTAGGACTCATCATGGTATGCTACAGTGTTTGGGAATTTCTCTAACAAAATTTGAATGGGTGCCATATATATATGTCATATCATACATATATGTTTAGTTATATATATAATATATAATTAGAAATTTAGAATATCTAATTTTTAAACACAATGTATATACTTATGTATATTAGATGTGCTCTGGTTGAAGCCAGAGCAAGTGGCCTTTCTTCCCCTCCCTCCTCTTTTGGCTCAGGGGCTCTTGAGGTACCACAGGATTCCAGTGTCCTTTGAACTGGGTTGAAAAGAACTGGCATCAGTTCTTTCTCTCTAAAATTGTGGATAAAAATATTGTCTAAATCTTAGAATTGTTGTAAAGATTAAATAAGGTGATGGATGTAAAATAAATTTCAAAAAAAAGCCATTAATAGGACTAGGAGAAGTGCCCCTGAGACTAGAGCTAGTATATTTGAGCCTAGCTAATCACAGCTAACTCGTAGCAGTCCACCTTATAATAGACTTTCGATTCAGAACTTGGAGACACATCTCATCAATCCCTCTATATTTTTGACATTTCTTGGTTTTATGACGTTTTTGTCATTGCTTTGAGGAAATCTTTAGGAAAATACATGTCATCAGGAATTAAGATAAATCTAGTGTAGTGTCTGAGAATATGCTTATATAAGACAACTGTTTATTCTTCATTTCAGTAGTGTCAGGAAATCAACCTCTTGAATCCAAGCCAGTGAGAGTGAGAGTGATTTACAAAAAGGCACAACTGCAGAATGATACGAAGACCCCATCTGGCATGGTTCCACCCAGCTACCTGTCTACAGTTTTCTAAGTCACTGAAGACTACCATCTACATAATGACACTTGACTCATTCCGTATAGAAAATAAAATGAACTGTTTTTCCAATGAATGAAAAATGAGCCCCTTCCAAGGAACTTGCTCATCCCATTAGAATTTTTCTTTTGCCTCATCTCATATTATCCATATTGAGGAAATCTTCCCACAAAGTATCTCCTCTGTCTTCAATACCTACCATCTCATATTATGTACTTTGTTGCATTGTAGTGTATTGCATATTTTTATACTGATGCAATAAAAGTAATTCCATCACTCAGTGGGTTAGACATCCATTTTACTTGTTTATGATTCATATCAACACTTCAGTGGAGGCTCATCTGAGCAGTTCTGGTCTCAGCTGAGGTCACTTGAGCACCTGCAGTCAGCTGGCAGCTCATCTCGAGCTAACCTAGGAGTCTGTTTATTGGTGTTGGCTCTCAGCTGGTCCCCATGTCTTCAACGAGCTAGCCTGTCCTGCATATGGTGGAGGAAGAGTTGCCAGAAGCAAGAAAGGCTTTTCAAGAGTTAATGTGGGAGAGGACTGTGCAAAGCACCATGCCAAAGACAGTGATTTACAAGACAAGGAGGTATTCATTATTTATTAAGACCACACATGATAATCAAAGCTCAAGGCAGCACCACTACTACACACATCCTTTTATTCATCGGCTTTTAATCCTCAGTGGATTATAATCAGCATTTCCTAAAAGGCATTCAAAGTGTGGTAGGAAGTATCTTTGAAATAGTAACTGATTTTTTACCTCAGGTATTCTTTGCCTCTATCCTTGTCCCGGTCTTAAGCTGTCTTACGGACAACTAAATCACTTCCTCAGGGAATAGAAGCTATAGGAGAATATGAGGAAAAGGGAGCCCTTTGTTGCTTATGAGTTTTAAAAATTTAGCTTTCTAGGAAACAAAACTTACTCATGGCATAGAGTAGAAGATTTAGGTGGAAATCTCATGGGAAAAGCCCAAAATCATTAGGTACATGGGACATCTGCCCCTTTTCCTGGATAGAAGCCAAAAGAAAGCAGGAAGGCCTCACAGAATAGCTAATTGACTTGTCTAAGAAAGACGGGGCCCCTGTGGGTCCACATAGAGTTTCTTATACCTCAGCATGGAACAGATCAGTAAGAAAAGTATTCCCATCAATTCCAGAATAGTATGGAAGAACTACAGAGAGCCACCAGGTTTGAAAGACATGTCTCAACAACAGTAGTACTGACCAATTCCCCAGGACCAGAGAACAGTTAGGACATCTCAGCAGATGCTAGTATACATCAATGACCCAAAGCAGCAGATAAGTGCCACCTCGCCATCTCATAGCCTTCTAACTCCCTGGCACTAGAAGACTCCAGAACATAGACACACTCCTGGGGGAAATTAAGAGATCCTGAATTTCTACCAATCTGGGAACAGAGAATCAAACTAGACACCAAGCGAGCTATTTAAAAACACAGAATTGGACATTTATTACATATGTCAATGTATACATTGAGGTTGGTATCAATATATATAGAATATATGATCCAAGCACAGTTTTCCTAGAAAGGGTTCCCTGGTCAAATAGGTTAGGGAAATTCTGTATTTTCCTTTTGAAGTCAAATGCTCCAGTTTTTTCCACACTTATTTGACATTGCTTGGCCCTTTTGGAGTAACCCCATTAATTAATGATCCTGGGAACATACATTAATAAACATCGCTCTGAATTTATTTCTTCTTAACTCACAGATTTTACCATTTCACTCACCTGCTAAGAAGCCATCAATAGATCTTTGAATTTTTGTTTTTTTTTCAGAAAAAAATGTCCTTTTTTAGATCCTCCACAATGCAACCTGCTCTAGTAATCAATTTTGTCTTCACTCTTTCCCATTGTAGATCCTTTGCTTTAGCTAGGTCAGAAACGTTACTGGTCCCTGAATAAGTCACACTCACTTTTCTAACTATAATCCTCACCTCTCCTTGGTCTCTACGTTTCCACCCACTAACTAGGTAGCCATCTGGGTTCTCCACTCCCAGAATTTCACAAAGCCTTCCTGATCTCAAATTAATTGTTCTTTACATGAGCGCTTGCCCCTACTAGACATTGGCTCGTATGCTGCTTTGCACCGTCAGGAATTATGCCAGTGTGTTCATACATTATTCAGCAAATCCAAATTCCTGTGGT